AATCTTTTTATTGTCTAGGACCACTGTTTGTCATATGTTCCCCATTACTTGACAGACAAGATATTCACAATGATTAAAAAATTTCCCGTAGTAATTGGCAACAGCTTCCTCGGAGTGATATTAAAGATACCAGTCTCCATGGGTGGATCTAGGATTTCAAAAAGGGGGTTGTGAGGGATATAATTAGCTCTGTCTCCTCTCCCCACCCCAGCAAGCAGATCATGCCATAGAGGCAGGATGTTGAGTCCCCAGCTGAGGGTGAGGGAAACCCCAGGCTACTTGTGCACTGCTCCACCTGGGGTCTACAGAGAGTGGCTGCATGTGGTGCTGGGCTCAGCTTGAGACAGCAGTGTTGGTGGACAGATCCCCACTTCTAGCAACTGCTCTCTTGCTGGCTTTCCCAGGTGTCCTCAACTGGACAGGAGAAGGCCCTGGAAGGTGGAGGGGGGACTGCCCACTGATGTCACTCAGCCTGGTAGCCCACATAGCCACTTCCCATAGCTAGAGCCCCTGGCCCAGTGGAGGAAATCTATGGGAGGAAACAGGCAGCAGGGACCTGCTACTGCCAGCAAGCCCAGCACCCTGTGAAGCCGCTACAGGCAGCCACTGTCTGGTGAGCTACACTGTTAAAGGGGCATGTGACCACACCACTGTGTCCTGCCCCCCTAGATCCATCCCTGTTAGTCTGCACCTGTTCTTGCTGCAGAACACGACCACATAGGTAGGCAGATATTTTCTGTGTAACTGCAACTATGGTAGCTTGTCATCAGCTTAATTTTAAGTTACATGGATACCAGAGTATCATATAACTATGCCAGTTGGGTCTGGTGTTCATTTCCAGACTCAGTTTTTAACTTTGTATTTTACTTTGTATGCATTTTGCTTTAAAATGAAATGTTTTATGATGAATAGAAGTATAGTAAGATAATTTTTAAATGCCCAGTGTGATTTCACTTGAGGAAAAATGCTTCCTTAATGCTCTCCAAAAGGAATCCACCTCCAATAAATAAAAGTGCATGTGCCTGCTGTGTGTGAGGGAGAAAGGGAGACTATTAGTTATGAGCTTTAATGTTGTTTCCTCTCTTGCTGCAGATAAATAAAAAGGGGAACCATTAAACTTAGCAATGGCATCTGGCCCCTTTTCCCCAAAGCAGGATCTCTGACTAGTGAGGCCAGGTTAGATAGATTTACAACATGTACTTTACAACTTCATTTTATAGGACTTTCTACAAGTCTTCTTTTTTTTCTTTTTTCCCCTTTTCCCAACCTTATTTAATGTAGATGTCTACTGCAGCAACTAACCTCTAGCTGACAGGAAGGGTTAGGCTGATGGCAAAGCTGCTCTGGGAATTACATAATAATGGTGCTGCATCCAAGAGCAATATACCCTGATATTTCCTCCCTCCAGAAAAATGTCTTTCACTTCTCTTAGCCTCTGCTAGACTTTCTTTGGGGAATTTAAAGTTTAGTAGTAAACTCACATCTTTTAGTGTATAGTGTATTCTGGGGCTGTTAATGCTCCAAGGAATCTAAACAAATTATTTTTATACAGTCTTTAGAAAACACTTTCCTTTGAAGAAGGTAGTCTAATTGTTTTAGAGAATTTGGTATGTGATTCTTCTCTCTATTTAAATCTGTATTTAAATCTAGCTTTTTCTATGACATTCTACTCCTTAATAAAGAAGGGGAAAGTTACATTTGTAGAACAGAAGTCAAATGGAGCACAGGCCAAGCTCTACAGGCCTCGTTTTGAAAGAACACGGGTAAACTAGGGGCCAAGTGATAAACAGTAGGATCTGATCTTTTTGCTTTCACAGGCAGAAGTAACTTGACTATCCACTCTCATTTCACTTTATGCCGTCATACACAGTGTGAAATATCTACCACATCAGAATGACAGTGTTTTACACCCATTTTGAATTGTTGATAATACACTGAGATTCAGATGTCCCAGTGGAAGTCTGTAGGTAAGTTAATACTACTTGAAACAGCATCTACTTGTGAGAGAAAAAAGGGGTTTAACCATATCTGTGAATAGGGAATTCCCTCCCTTGTAGATCTCTGGGTTTCACAAGCTTGTAAGGCTACAACTCCTTTCTTGTCCCCAAAGAATCGTACACATCTTTCTATGAAACTACCTCTTTACAAAAAAAATGCCACACTGGCATACTTTAGAGTTGTTTAACCCCTAAGTCCCCTCCTTCCATTTGTAGCCCTAGAGAAGGATATAGATTCTTCTAAGAATGGGATGAAAGAAATCAACACAATGACATATGAAAGGATTATTTTAATACAATTTGGCCTCTTAAAGAACAATTTATGGACCTATGTATTTTAACTAGAAATCTGGTCTGGTTTAATGTTATAGTGTGCCCATTTTCTGTCACATTGTACTAATCATTGATCAGCACATTAGAAAAATCTAATGGAAATTAAATAGGCAAGATAAGCCTAGTAACTCTATATATATGGAGGAAAACATATCTGTTTTGCTTAAAATGCCAGCATGACTGGTGTGCTACCTTGGAGTTCTCATCCCTGACTCTGAAGAAATCTGGAAGAGCTCCCTATGAGCTGGACGGAGAAAGCAGGAGGAAACAGGCAGGTTTTGAAGCCTACCTCTCCAGGTTGCTACAGGAATGTCTGTGAAATCAAACCATGTGAAAAAAGGCTTATTGTGATAAATGAGCAAATTCTGAGAACAGGTACACAGTCAGAATTTTTCTGAGTAGCTTAGTTAAGAAAAGCTCATATTATTATTTGGCCTTGAATGGGAGCTTTGGACCTGGGGGTGAGGAGATGAGGACTCCTGAGTCTGCCATTGTAGTGGACAGAACACAGATTTGAGGATAGAGGAAAATATACAGGAGCATTATTAAAATGGAAGGTAAAACCAAAACAATATATACCATACTCACTTGAATTCAGGATGAGGTTCCCCATCCCCTAAATCAGCATGGGGGCAAAAAAGCCTCATCTTATATTTGAGTACCGTCCTGAGACAGGCAGCAGCTCAGCTCCAGCTTTGGCCCCAAGCTCAAGGCTAAAGCCAGAGCTGAACTGCTGCCTGCCCTGGGCCAGAATGGCTCATTTGGCAGAGGACGGGGCTCTCAGGCAGGATGAGCTCCAGGGGAGACTGTGGGGTGCCCCCTCACACCTTCCCCCTGTACCTGCATCTCCTGCTGCCCTCTGCAGAGTGTCCCCCCACTTCCTGCTCCCCTTCATCAAGCTTCCCACCCCCTCTTTACCTTCTGCTCTGGCTCCACTCCCTCCAGCCCCGACCCTGCCTGGTTGGGAGCTGCTGCCATTTCTCCTTGGCTGAGCTGAGCTGGGGCCATGCTGGGATGCTGGTGCGAAGTGGTCCAGAGGAGCAGAGTTGCAGCAGAAGGTAAAGGGGGGTGGTGGTTGGCAGGCACATGATGGGGAAAGGGCTGAGGGGAGAGGCAGCAGGGGGAACAGGGGGTATGGGAGGCATGGGGGGGACCAGGCACAGGCATGGGGGGTCAATGAGCAGGTGGAAGAAACACAGGCACAAGGGA